AAATACAATCAAGTCGTGCACTGCTTTGCTTAAAGTTCCTCAGAGGCTCCCTGCTGCCTCTGAAGTCCAAATTCTTTATCATGGGCAAAGGCATTAAGAATGAGCCCCCTGTGTGTTTCCATTTGTGCCTCTCCTCCAAAGGATCTAGAAGACCGTTATCTCTCCTTGTGGTCCCTCAACACAGAAGGCTGGACTGTTGCTCATGCTGTTTTCTCGGTGCACAGTTTTCTTTTCCCTTACTTCTTACCTCCCCTGTAAACATTTGCTCATTTAAAAAGATGAGTCAGTGGCCCCCTTTTCAGGGAAGTCTTCCTTGATACATTCAGGCTGGAGTAAGCAATTCCTTCTCTGTGTTCTCCTAGCAGTTTATTAGCTTCATTATAATACTTGGTTCATTTATCCAACAGTTATTTATTGCTTGCTTGCTATATTCTGGAAACCATTCTAGGCATTGGGATTAGAATGGTAAACAAGACAGATAAGGTCCTCATTTTCAAGGAGTCTACATTACAGAGTGGAGGAAAGTGGAAAAAAAAAAAAACAAGTAAACCAACTATTATTTTAGACAGTGATTAGTGGTACTAAGATAAAATAAAACCAGACAGTGTGGTAATATGATGGTGTGTGTGTGGTGTGGGGAGGGGGAATGGTTGTGACACTTGAGAGTGAGTGAGGTCCAGTTTGAGTTGGGACTTGAAAGATTCTAGAAGGAGCCAGCCATACAGAGATCTGCAAGAGGTACATTCTAGGCAAAAGGAACAGTTAAGTACAAAGACCTTGGAGCTAGAGTGAGCTTGGCATATTTAAGGAGCAGATGCAGCCTAGTGAGCCAGGAGCATAATGCGCAGGAGAAAGGAAGGAGTTCTGTCTGACATAAGACCCAAGAGGTAGACGGGGCCAGGTCATGTAGGGCCTTATAGGTAAGATGTGTCAATTTTAAGTATAGCAGGAAGCCATTGGAAGAGTTTTATGTGAGGGAGTGACATGGAACTGATTCATGTCAAGAATTATTACCCTGGTTTATAATGAGCAGAATTCTAGGAGGACAAGATTAACAGCAGAGACCAATTAGGAGTTGTTATCTACTGCAAATGAAAATTGCTGGCACCTTGGATTACCACTGTTACCTACTGCAAACGAAAAATGTTGGTACCTTGGATTACTGTGGTATTTGTAGTATCCATGGAGAGAAGTGGAGTGATGTGGGATGTATTTTGAATGACAAGACTTGCTGATGGGTTGAATGTGTTGGGCTTAGGGAAGGATGGAATCAGGAAAAGGACCCCTTGACTTTTCTTGAGTAACTTTGTGGATGGTGGTGCCAT